TGGAGCGAAACAGAATGACTTCAAGAGTGTATCAGTCTGTAGTGGAAGGAAGGCGGGGTAGGGGTCGGCCTAGGAAAGGTTGGAGGGAGGGGGTAAAGGAGGTTTTGTGTGCGAGGGGCTTGGACTTCCAGCAGGCATGCGTGAGCGTGTTTGATAGGAGTGAATGGAGACAAATGGTTTTTAATACTTGACGTGCTGTTGGAGTGTGAGCAAAGTAACATTTATGAAGGGATTCAGGGAAACCGGCAGGCCGGACTTGAGTCCTGGAGATGGGAAGTACAGTGGACCCCCGCATACCGGACGCCTTGCATAACGGACAATCCGCATACCGGACGCTTTGATCGCTAAAATTTTGCCTCGCATACCGCCCAAAAACCCGCTCAGCGCCCTTCGTCCGAGGCGCGTCCAATGTGCGGCCTGAGCCAGCCTCATATGTTCCGCCGGTGGCATTGTTTACCAGCCAGCCTCCGCGGTAACATTCAAGCATACAATCGGAATATTTCGTATTATTACAGTGTTTTCGGTGCTGTTTCTGGAAAATAAGTGACCATGGGCCCCAAGAAAGCTTCTAGTTCCAACCCTACAGCAATAAGGGTTAGAATTCCAATAGAGATGAAGAAAGATATCATTGATAAGTATGAAAGTGGAGTGCGTATCACCGACCTGGTCAGGTTGTACAAGAAACCCAAATCAACCATCTCTACTATTGTGGGCAACAGAAAGGCAATCAAGGAAGCTGTTCTTGCCAAAGGTTTAACTGTGTTTTCGAAACAGAGATCGCAAGTGATGGAAGATGTTGAGAGACTCTTATTGGTGTGGATAAATGAAAAACAGCTAGCAGGAGATTGCGTTTCTCAAGCTATCATAAGCGAAAAGGCTAGGAAGTTGCATGAGGATTTAATTAAAAAAAGGCCTGCAACTAGTGATGATGTGAGTGAATTTAAGGCCAGCAAAGGTTGGTTTGAGAGATTTAAGAAGCGTAGTGGCATACATAGTGTGATAAGGCATGGTGAGGCTGCCAGTTCGGACCACAAAGCGGCTGAAAAATATGTGCAGGAATTCAAGGAGTACATAGAAACTGAAGGACTGAAACCTGAACAAGTGTTTAATTGTGATGAAACAGGCCTGTTTTGGAAGAAAATGCCAAGCAGGACCTACATTACTCAGGAAGAAAAGGCACTCCCAGGACATAAGCCTATGAAAGACAGGCTTACTTTGTTGATGTGTTCCAATGCTAGTGGTGATTGCAAAGTTAAGCCTTTATTAGTGTATCACTCTGAAACTCCCAGAGCGTTCAGGCAAAAGAATGTCCTCAAGGATAATTTGTGTGTGCTGTGGAGGGCAAACAGTAAGGCATGGGTCACTAGGGACTTTTTCTATAACTGGTTACACCATGCATTTGCTCCCAATGTGAAAGATTACCTAACTGAAAAGAAATTAGAACTTAAGTGCCTCCTGGTGTTAGACAATGCCCCTGGTCATCCTACAGACGTGGCAGAGCGACTTTATGGGGACATGAGCTTCATTAAGGTGAAGTTTTTGCCTCCTAATACCACTCCTCTCCTGCAGCCCATGGACCAGCAGGTTATTGCAAACTTCAAAAAACTGTACACAAAAGCTCTGTTTGAAAGGTGCTTTGTAGTGACCTCAGAAACTCAACTGACTCTAAGAGAGTTTTGGAGAGATCACTTTAATATCCTCAATTGTATAAACCTTATAGGTAAGGCTTGGGAGGGAGTGACTAAGAAGACCTTGAACTCTGCTTGGAAGAAACTGTGGCCAGAATGTGTAGACAAAAGGGATTTTGAAGGGTTTGAGGCTAACCCTGAGAGGAGTATACCAGTTGAGGAATCAATTGTGGCATTGGGGAAGTCCTTGGGGTTGGAGGTTAGTGGGGAGGATGTGGAAGAGTTGGTGTAGGACGGCAATGAAGAACTAACCACTGATGAGCTGATAGATCAACTTCAAGAGCAAGAGGCCAGACCTGAGGAAACTGGTTCAAAGGAGGGGAGAGAGAAATTGAAGGAATTGCCTACTACAAAGATTAAGGAAATGTGTGCAAAATGGCTTGAAGTGCAAACCTTTTTTGATGAAAATCACCCTCACACAGCTATTGCAAGCCGTGTTGGCAACCTGTACACTGACAATGTTGTGAAACACTTTAGGGAAGTCATAAAGGAACGAGAGGTACAGGCCACTATGGACAGATATGTTGTGCGAAAGAAGTCCAGTGACTCTGAAGCTGGTCCTAGTGGCATTAAAAGAAGAAGGGAAGTAACCCCAGAAAAGGACTCGACACCTCAAGTCTTAATGGAAGGGGATTCCCCTTCTAAACACTAACACTCTCTCTCCCCTCCTCCCATCCCATCAATCATCACCAGATCTTCAATAAAAGTAAGTGTCATGTAATTGTGCATGCCTTTTTCAGTTTGTGTGTATTAAAATTAACATTTCATGTGGTAAAAAATTTTTTTTTCATACTTTTGGGTGTCTTGCACGGATTAATTTGATTTCCATTATTTCTTATGGGGAAAATTCATTCGCATACTGAACATTTCGCATAACAGCCAGCCCTCTTGCACGGATTAAGGTCGCTATGCGGGGGTCCACTGTACAGTGCCTGCACTCTGAAGGAGGGGTGTTAATGTTGCAGTTTAAAAACTGTAGTGTAAAGCACCCTTCTGGCAAGACAGTGATGGAGTGAATGATGTTGAAAGTTTTTCTTTTTCGGGCCACCCTGCCTTGGTGGGAATCGGCCAGTGTGATAAAAAAAAAAAAAAAAAAAATTACTGACATACATTGTTTAAGTGTGATGGTGGTGCTGGCAGAAGCCTCCACCTCCACCAATACAGCTTCTCTTAGTGGTGGCCCTTAACCCTTTCAGGGTCCAAAGGCCAAATTTCAAAGTGCACACCAGTGTCCAAGAATTTTCAAAAAATAATTTTATTTTTTCTTATGAAATGGTAGAGAATCTTTTTCTGAAGGTAATAAAACAAAAAGTACAAAATTTGATAGAAAACTGATGAAATTATGCTCTCGTGAATTTTGATGAGTCTGCAATATTTATGCATCGGCGATTTTGCCGGCTTTGACTCCCATTTTAGGCCAATTACTTTATTCCAGTCAACCAAATTCTTAGGTATTTCACTAGTATTACTTCTATTCTATCGATTGAGCACAAGAATTCACCAACTCAACTGTTTCAACTACAAAATAAAGTGATTGGAAACTGGTAATTTGGCCAATTTAGTGCAAAGCTCAAAATATTCCAATTTCAAAGTAGGGTCCAGAATAAACAATGCAGGCATTCTTGGCCCTAAACTAACATTCCCTCTGTTCATTAGTTATGTTTCCAGGCTTTACAAATGAATTCCATTTTCATTTTTAATTCATATAATGAATTTTTATTCAAACCAAAAAATGGAAGATTTACTGTCATGCAATATTGTAATAATTGTATAAATAATATCAGCACATTTGTGAACGTATATCAGACCCAAAATCTGGCGTGTATTAGACGTGTACAGTCATCTATTTACTCTTGAACATCGGCAAAAATTTAATGTTTCCGTTACTTTGAGCTCTGTTTCAAGCCATTTTCAGTGCTAAAACCAATCAAAATCACCTCTACTTCTGTACTTTCTATTACTTCACCATCTCTTATAATCTTGCCATAGCCTGAAATCACAGAGCCAATTTGAAATTACTTAATAAATCTCAATTAACTTAAGATCACTGAAACAGTTTAAAGTATTAATACATACTTAAAATTGTACTATTGTAAATTGTGCTACTTGTAATATTTTGCCACCAATCTATTGTAAATTGTAATAATTGTAATATTTTTGCTACCTCTCATTTGTAATAATACATAATTAAAATTTACCTCTCAGTAGCCTATGTCTGTCTTAAGAAGTGTGTAAGCAATAGAATTAGTCTGCCCAGAATGCTCATGTATGTTAATGGCCTTCTTTGTGCCTAACAATATTGTATTGTGTAAACCACACTTTTTATACTACACAAAGAAATAAAGTTGTTAAATGTTTAACTAGTATCACCAGTCACACAAAAGCTACACTACACTACACTCACCATACATTAACTAGTATTACCAGTCACACATAAACTACACTACACTACACTCACCATACATTAACTAGTATCACCAGTCACACAAAAACTACACTACACTACACTCACCATACATTAACTAGTATCACCAGTCACACAAAAACTACACTACACTACACTCACCATACATTAACTAGTATCACCAGTCACACAAAAACTACACTACACTACACTCACCATACATTAACTAGTATCACCAGTCACACAAAAACTACACTACACTACACTCACCATACATTAACTAGTATCACCAGTCACACAAAAACTACACTACACATACACTCACCATACATTAACTAGTATCACCAGTCACACAAAAACTACACTACACTACACTCACCATACATTAACTAGTATCACCAGTCACACAAAAATTACACTACACTACACTCACCATACATTAACTAGTATCACCAGTCACACAAAAACTACACTACACTACACTCACCATACATTAACTAGTATCACCAGTCACACAAAAACTACACTACACTACACTCACCATACATTAACTAGTATCACCAGTCACACAAAAATTACACTACACTACACTCACCATACATTAACTAGTATCACCAGTCACACAAAAACTACACTACACTACACTCACCATACATTAACTAGTATCACCAGTCACACAAAAATACACTACACTACACTCACCATACATTAACTAGTATCACCAGTCACACAAAAACTACACTACACTACACTCACCATACATTAACTAGTATCACCAGTCACACAAAAACTACACTACACTCACCATACATTAACTACTATCACCAGTCACACAAAAACTAAACTACACTACACTCACCATACATTAACTAGTATCACCAGTCACACAATATCTACACTACACTCACCTTGCATTAACTAGTATCACCAGAGAAAGAAAGAGGACAAAGAATGGGTCTCGCTCTTGGAAGTATATATCCCACACTGCCATCGTAGCGTCCAGGCTACACACCGCTGAGAATAAACTCCGCAACTGTAAAACAGAGAAATGACCACAAACAATCAGCATAACAAAATGATTACAATATAACAATTATATCAGTAAGCTCTTTTATAAAGTTCCTTGAAGTATATTATGATTTTTTAAATATAAGAAAAAACAATCAAAATAGAATAGTGTATGGAGAGGCTGTTATATTATTCACTGTTCAATTTTGAAAGCCTTAATTGTAATTGCAATTACAAAATGTGCCAAACCCACATGTGTCAGAGGTGTGCAAGGCTCCGGGATGAGTTAAAAACAAAAGACTTGGCAGGCGGTGCAATATCTCTACAATGAAAAGCAGGGGCACCATGAATGCACTAAGAGACAACACAATAAGTGTCAGGGGCCCAAGACTGTTCAACTGCCTCCCAGCATACATAAGGGAACTGGATAATCACTTAGTACCTGACCAGCCGGGCTGTGGTTTGTATTTTGGATTGTATACAGCCAGCAGTAACAGCCTAGTTGATCAGGCCCTGATCCACCACAAGCCTGGTTATGGACCGGGCCATGAAGGCCTTGACCCTCGAAACACTCTCCAGGAATACCCTCAAGGTATAAAAAGAGAACCATATATGCTGAGGTAGTACCAAGACTACACCAATAACACAATAATAGTAACAGTTGTGATGGGTACACACACTCACAGAATGCTGTCTCTCTGAACAATCTGGTGAAAACTTGTTAAACACTGGTAGGTACAAAAGTAAGCCACTAGTATGCAATGAATTTTGGGCAAAGTAATCATATTAGTTAGTTTCCAGGTTGTCCTAAACACTCTGCATAACCAAGGGCTTTGCATCAAGTCTGTTAAACATATTAATTATTCTTATAACAATGGTACACTGTACTTCATGGAAAAAAAAAAAAATTTAATTTTGAAGAGTGATGAACAATGAGGACTTAACGTTCTCTCATTAAGAACAATAAATGGTCAGGTTTGAAGATTCTAACATCAATAGTGATAAATGCTTAAATATGAGCATTCTCTCAGAATGATACAGTGGACCCTCGGTTATCGGCATTAATCCATTCCAGAAGGTCGGCCTAAATCCGAAATGGCCGAAAACCTAAATAATATCTCCCATAAGAATTAACGTAAATACAATTAATCCGTTCCAGACATCCAAAAATATTAACAAAAAAACATTTTTGAAAGATTAACTCTAGTTTTACATACACAAAAAATGAGAACTAAATAAAATAAATAAATGAACATTTAAATCACTATTACAGACCATTATTGAAGACTCTTGTTGGTTTATAGAAGACAGGGGGGGAGGAGGAGAGAGGGAGGACTGATTATTGTTTGGAAGGGGAATCCCCCTCCATACGGACTTCAGGTACCAAAGCCCTCCCTGGAGTTAAGTCCCTTCTTTGTCTTTTACTGCCACTATGCTTCTTAAATCTCTCAACCCAGCCTTTGCTGGCCCTAAATTCACTAACAGCAGTACTCGTTCCAGGCATTTTCTTTACAAGATCCACATGCAACTGTCTTGCCTTTTCACAAGTGATTGACTCCACAACACTATCTCCCGCTAATTGTTTTTCGTTGAGCCATACCAACAATATCTTCTCCACATCTTTCTTTTTTGGGCCTTGGTGGGAATCGGCCAGTGTGTTAATAAATAAAAATAAATCTTCGATTATTGGTGACTTTTGCTTCGTTAGCACATTTACCTCTTTTGCAACATTAGCTTCCTTGATTTCTACTTTCTTTGCCAGGATGGAAGTGATTGTTAATTTGGATTTCCCATACATGCTGGCAAGCATAAGTACACATACACCACTCTCAATTCAACAATTTCTTTCTTAAATCCATCGTGTTTCTCGCTCTCTTTACCAAAGGAACTTTACTAGGAACTTTCTTTGGGCCCATGGTTACTTATTTAGCAGTTGCACTCAATCAATAACCACAAAAAACAATGGATTACAGCAAAATGTTTGGATGAATGCATGGAGGCTTCCTCACTCGCCCAGAGAGACAGCCTGACTGACTCATGAACACGGAGGAGAGGCGGGTGAATGCGTCCAATATGGCTGATCTCCAAAATAACGGCCGATGACCGGGATAGAATTTCAGCCAAAAAAGTAGGCAAACACTAAATTAACCAATATCCAGAATGGCCAATAACCAAGGGTCCACTGTAAATGCAAGACCGGATGATCAATGCATCACCATTAAATTTAGGATTATTTATATTTTTTATTAACACACTGGCCGTTTCCCACCAAGGCAAGGTGGCCCGAAAAAGAAAAACTTTCATCATTCACTCCATCACTGTCATGCCAGAGGCATGCTTACACTACAGTTATAAAACTGCAACATTAATACCCCTCCTTCAGCTACTGAATGGAAATCAATAAAACAATTTGTTTAATAAAGTTGAGAGCGTGGAACTTACGCAGACCAGGAGCAACACAAACCTTCCGATGTCTGTGTCTCTATCTTGAGTAACTTTTAACCCTTTGAGGGTCCAAGCCGTAGTTCTACAACAAGAGCTCAGCTCATTCAGATAAGGTGTGAGTGGTAGATTTGGGCCTAGATATGAGAGAATGGATCTTTTTGGTAAGTGTGCACCATATAAAACAAAACCTGCAGCAAGCAGTGCATAATGAGAAAAAAAAATTGCAACCATGTTTTAGGATTAAAACAGCAACTTTGTGGTGTAATATCTTATGGTTTTTACAGTTTTATTTGCAATTTCTTAGTCTCATTTGACAGAAAGGAAGATATATTAAAGAAATAGAGATGATTTTGATTGGTTTTAGTACTGAAAATAGCTTGAAATTGAGCTCAAAGTAGCAGAAACATTTGATTTTTGCCAATGTTCAAGAGTTAACAAATGACGTCACGCATCCAATACACATTAATTGGTGGGTCTAATATATGTTCATGAATGTGATATTATTTATACAATTATTACAATATTGCTTAACAATAAATCTTCTATTTTTTTGGAGTGGCTAAAAATTCTTTGTGAATAAAAAATCAAAATTGAATTCATGTATAAAGACTGGAAACATAACTAATAAACAGAGGAAATGTTATTTTAGTGTCAGGAATGCCTGCAATTGTTTATTCTAGACCCTATTTTGAAATTGGAATAATTTGAACTTTACATGAAATTGGCCAAATTACCAATTTCTGATCACTTTACTGGGTAGTTGACATAGCTGATTAGGCAGTTTATTGTGCTCAATCAATAAAATAGAAGTAATATTTGCAAAACAGCTAAGAATTGGTCAACTGGAATAATGTAATTGGCCTAAAATAGGAGACAAAGTGGACAAAATTGCCAATGCGTAAATATCGCTGATGCAGTAAAATTCGCGAGTGTAATTTTCTCAATTTTCTATCAAATTTCGTGCTCTTTGTTTCATTACCTTCAGAAAAAGATTCTGTACCATTTCATAAGAATAAATAACAAAAAAATTTTTTTGAAAATTTTTGGACCCTGTGGGTACAGCAGAGAAATACAACTTGGACCCTCAAAGGGTTAAGCATTAGGATTAGTTTGTCCAAAATGCATTGCATATTAGTGGCTTTCTTTTGTGCCTACCAATGTTTTTCTTACATGTAAACTACATTATTTATACTGCATAAAGAATTTTTTTATTGTATTTAACAAAATGCAACAGCACTAAAATTTTGAAGGCAACCTGAAGAACCATTCTCCAATTATACAAAAACCAACCATTCCAAATTTTTTAAGTTCATAGGAATACTTCTCCATGGGGAAGTGAAACACAAGTCTTTCCTCACAAGCCACGAGTGTCGTAAGAGGCGACTAAAATGCTGGGAACAAGGGGCTAGTAACCCCTTCTGTATACATTAGTAAATTTATAAAAAAAATAAAATAATTTTTCTGTTCTGGTCACCCTGCCTCAATGGGATATGGCTGGCTTGTAAAAAAAAAAAAAAATTTCATCTACACATTTAAAGATCATCATCGTCCTCATAACTTCTCCTAAGATGTATCAGCCATAAATAACAGAAACCATCATAAGAGTCACTCTCAAGTTATATTCAGAATATACTACACCATTTTAACCCCTTAACCCTTTGAGGGTTTTCGTCGTACTAGTACGTCTTACGCGTAGGGGTTTTTGACGTACTAGTACTCATAAATTCTAGCGGCCTCAAATCTAGTGGGAGAAAGCTGGTAGGCCTTCATATGAAAGAATGGGTCTATGTGGTCAGTGTGCACAGTCTAAAAAAAATCCTGCAGCACACAGTGCATAATGAGAAAAAAAAAACTTTGACCATTTTTTTTTAATAAATCAGCGACTTTGCAGTGTATTTTCGTATGGTATTTATTGTTGTATTCTAGTTTTCTTGGTCTCATTTTATAGAATGGAAGACATACTACAGAAATTGAGATGATTTTGACTGGTTTTACAAAGAAAGGTGCCTTGAAATTGAGCTCAAAGTAGCAGAAATGTTCGATTTTTACCAAACTTCAAAAGTAAACAAATCGTGCCAAGCGTGCAATACACGTCAACTGGTGAGTCTAATATTCTTTCACAAGTGCACCAATAATATTTATACCATTTTTTACACTAATGCAGTAGTCTGCATAACAGTAAATCTTATATTTTTTGTGAAAATAAAAATTCAAAGTGGAAAGCAAAAGAATATAAGAGGGGCCTTGAGACATGACTAATGACTAGAGGAAATGTCATTTTAGTGCCAGGAATGTCTTTCTTGTTTATTCTGGACCCTATTCGGAAATTGGCATCTTTTGAAATTTGTGTGAAATTGGCAAAATTACTAAATTCTGACCACTGTACTGGATAGTAGAATTTCATAAATGAGTGGTTTCTTGCACCCATTTGATAGAAAAAATGGAGTTCTATCGAAATATTCATGTTTTTTGTCGACTAGTACAGTGAAATTGGCCGAAAATGGGGCTCAAAGTGGGCAAAATCGCCGATGCGTAAACATCGCCGAGACCGCTAACTTTGCGAGAGCATAATTCCGTAAGTTTTCTATCAAATTTCAAACTTTTGGTGTCTTTATGATCGGGAAAAGATTCTCTATCTTTTCATAAGAGAAAATAATTTTTTTTTTTTTTTTAAATTTGGCCGACCCTGAGAACGAGTTTCGGAGAGGGCCTGTCGACCCTCAAAGGGTTAACTATCCAAATGTAGATCTACAGTGTTACCGCTAGAGCTCCAAACATAAATCAACGTTTCATTTTCCTGCCTCCAAGTTTGGCATGATTGGCCCGAGATGCCTGGTCAGCATAGAATGAGGCTTAACCCTTAAACTGTCCAAACGTAGATCTACGTTTTTTCAACATTTGAAAGTATGTAAAAAAAGTAGATCTTTTTGTTTTTTTTTTTACATTTGAAAACGTGTAAAAAACTTTGATCTACATTTTTTTTATATTTGAAAATATGTTAAAAAAAGTAGATCTACTTTTGGAGCACTACGCATTTGAACGCAGATCTGCTTGGACAGTTTAAGGTTAACACTCAGTGTGCACAGTATTAACAAAATCTGGGACCACTTAGTACCTTGTGGGAGCACCAGTTCAATAAAACGCCAGCTAGAGCAAACATGGTGGAAAACACCAGGGATTCACTGATGTCATGTCCTATTAACACTCCCCTTTTAAGAGGAAAGTAATGATGACCCTGATTTTAGTGGCTCTGAGATGGATGTGGCTGCAAGTGGCCAAGGAAATATCAAAAACCTCAATAATAACCCACATGAAACATTTGTGCAACATCCAGAATGTCCTATAACCTATGCCCTAAGTAAAGGGAAACAATTCTGAAACTTGTAATACATGTTCAGCAGGCTGGCTGGGTGACTTGATTGACTTTGGCTCTCTATCTTCATCTGTCTGTCTGTATCTCTCTCTGTCTCTATCTCTGTCTGTCTGTCTATATCTCTATCTCTGCTTATCTCTTTCTCTGTCTATCTCTACCTCACAGGTACACAAAAATACAATTACATAGTGTACATTACCTAGGATAACCCAAGAAATCCAGACAAAGTGCAATAGTGTGCTTGTAGATATAATGCATAATAAGCATGACTGGCAAGTAATACACATTTTCACTTGTTCAGGACTCAGACTTGACAACTCTGCAGCGTGTGCAATACCTGTTGGCTCATAACTGCCTCTCTGAGACAGAAAGAGAGACAAGCGGAGACAGAGATAAACAGAGCTAGACAGGCAGATAGACAGACAATGTTCATGTGTAACAGTGAAAGCAAATAAAGCCAAAGCAGTGTACAATCATCAAATGTCACGCCACTGCTGACACAGTGCTTCAAGGAATTTCATATATACTCCAGTGAGTCTAAAACATTCCTGGGTCCTATAAATACAGTGGACCCCCGCCTTACGATATTAATCCGTTCCTGAGAGCTCATCGTAAGCCAAAATTATCATTAGTCGAATTAATTTTCCCCATAAGAAATAATGGAAATCAAATTAATCCGTTCCTGACACCCCAAATTATGAAAAAAAAAAATTTTTACCACATGAAATATTAATTTTAATACACACAAACTGAAGAAGACATGCACAATTACTACTCTACTAAGAATAGAATACATGACACTTACCTTTATTGAAGATCTGGTGATGATTGATGGGATGGGAGGAGGGGAGTGTGTGGAAGTTATTGTTTAGAAGGGGAATCCCCTTCCATTAGGACTTGAGGTAGCAAGTCCTTTTCCGGGGTTACTTCCCTTCTTCTTTTAATGCAACTAGGACCAGCTTGAGAGTCACTAGACCTCTGTCGCACAACAAATCTGTCCATAGAGCTCTGTACCTCCCGTTCCTTTAAGACTTTCCTAAAATGGGCCATAACATTGTCATTGTACAGGTTGCCAACACAGCTTGCAGTAGCCGTGTCAGGGTGATTTTCATCTGTAAAGGTTTGCAGTTCAACCCACTTTGCACACATTTCCTTAATCTCTTTTTTCAATTCCATACTAATTCTCGCCCTTTTTACCACAGGGATGGCACTAGAAGCTTTCTTGGGGTCCATGGTGACTTATTTTGCAGTTACAAGCACTAAAAACACTGGGATAATGTGAAATGTATGGAATGTATGCATAGATGTGACCGCACTGGCTGGCTTGTAAACACTGGCACTAAAGCCACACGTGAGACGCGTCCCGGACGAATCACGTAAGGCGAGGCAAAATTTTTGCGTTCAAATGCTTTGTATGGCGGATTTAACCTAACACGATGCGTTCGTAAGGCGGGGGTCCACTGTACTTGGAATGCTGGGCAAGAGAGCGTAGATCTACATTTGGACAGTTAAGAGGTTAATAACAAACCTGGACACCTGCCAACTACACCCTCCAATAACAATAGCAGTCTCCTTAAAAATAGCATAAACAAGTGCTGAAAGTTTGAAGCTTATCAGTAGAAGCAGTCTTATGTCATCACACACAATCTAAAGATGAGACTAGTTTATATAACATTAACCAGAGAGAACCTCAATATATCAACATATGCCCAAATCTTTCCCATAGATGCATTAAACCAGCTTTGAAAATTTGAAGCTGATCTAATGAGTTGTTCTCCAGGTATTAGTGTTATGACCATAATGATAACACATATTCAAGCAGTTAAAGACTAACTTTCATGGATAACTTGATAAAGGTTAACTCTAACAAGTAACTTTCTGCTATCTTGCAATCTTTAAATGTAGAGGGGTGTTTTATGTAGGACTACAAAAACAAAAACTCAAAACATACACAATGCTAGGAAATCTAGCATCTTGTAAAAAAAAACAAAAAAAAAAAGGCAAAACAAACCAAATGGTTACTACAATAACAAAAAAAATTAAACGTAAAGTTTACTACAAAAACCTAAAATTATTAAACACAAAAATACTACAGAAACAAAAATTCATACAAAAATGACTACAAAACAATGACTACAAAAATAAAAAACAAAAAATGACTACAAAAAATTACAAAAACAAAATGAGTACAAAATGAAGTCACAAATGATCAGAGAGAAACAAAGTAACAAAGACGATAAACATTACCCATGATGTGGCATAGAGGTCAGGTGTTATTTTGCGGGAGTCGAGGAAGGTGGAGAGCTCCGGGTCATGGTAGAGCAGCAGTAACCGCAGCAAGTGGTACACAGCTCCACCAATACCAGACTCCCTGAGTGTAGACACCAGTTTACACTTAATTTAAGAATCAATACATCAGAAGTTTACTATAACTGTAACTACAGAAGGGCCCCGCTTTACAGCGTTTTGCTAATACAGTGGTACCTCGAGTTATGAACTTAATTTGTTCCAGAAGGCTGTTCAAGTGCCGATACCAAACAAATTTGTTCCCATAGGGAATAATGTAAATTAGATTAGACAGTTCCAAACCCCCAAAACTACGCTTACAAAAGCACTTACAAAAATACACTTACATAACTGTTCGAGTTGGGAGCTGTTCGAAACTCGAGGTACTACTGTACAGTGGCTTTTCAATTACAGTGGACCCCCGGCTATCGGCCGCAATCCATTCCTGAAGGTCGGCTGATAACCGAAATGGCCGATAACTGAATTAATATTTCCCATGAGAATTAATGAAAATAAAATTAATTCGTTCCCAACAAAAATATTCACAAAAAAATATTTTTTTTTACAATTATGTAAGTATTACATACCTTTATTGAAGGCTAATACTAGCTTCTGGAAAATAGGGAGGAGGAAAGAGAGAGGAGTTAGTGTTTGGAAGGGAAATCCCCCACCATGAAGACTTTAGGTAGCAATGCCTTCTCTGGGGTTACTTCCCTTCTCTGTCTTTTAATGCCAATAGAACCAGCTTGAGAGTCACTGGACCCCTGTCTCACAAAATAACTGTCCAGAGTGCTCTGTTTCTGGCATTCCTTAAAGATTTCCCTGAAGTGAGACAGGGTTTTGTCACAAAACATGTTGCAGATATGGTTTGTTTCAGCTTTGTCAGGGTGGTGTTTCTCTACAAAAGCTTCCATTATTGGTGTCCTTTGTTTAGTTAGAAAAGCTACTCCTTTTGGAACATTAGCATCTTTGATTTGTTCTTTCTTTGCCAGGATGGATGTAATTGTTGATTTATTCTTGTTGTACATCCTGGCAAGTTCCATCACCTTCGTACCACTCTCAAATTCCATGGTGTTTCTCACTTTCCTTACCACAGGAACTTTACTAGGAACTTTCTTTGGAGCCATGGTTATTTATTTCACAGTTGCACTGCACGAAAAACCACTAAAAACAATGGTAAACAAGCGAAATGTTTGGATGAATGAGCAGAAGCTTCCTCAGCCACCAAGAGACAAAGCCAAACTGAAGCGCAAGCTGCCCTAGCCGGCGGATGGACACGTCCAAAACCGCTGATAACCGAGCGAATGGCCAATAATCGGGCGCCGAAAAACCCGCCAATAACCGAGTTGGCCGACAACCAAACCGGCCGATAACCGGGGGTCCACTATACACCCATTCTTCATTTATTCAGATTTCCTACAATAAATATATTCACCATTCGCTATAAGCTAAGGATGAAAATATTTTTAAGTAATGAGTGTACTATATATGCATTCTTTAGGCCTAGCCATATTGCTCACTTAATATATGACAGTCTAAACATATTATCAGGATTTATATGCAATTGAAAGTAAAAAAAAAATTGCTGTTTCACCTTATAGCAGCAGTCCAGAATTTAACCTGCTGTAAAATTGGGGCCCTGCTGTAAATGTGGGGCCCTGCTGTAAAAGTGGGGCCTGCTAATGCTGTGTAAAAGTGGGGCCCTGCTGTAAAAGTGGGGCCCTGCTGTAAAAGTGGGGCCCTGCTGTAAAAGTGGGGCCCTGCTGTAAAAGTGGGGCCCTGCTGTAAAAGTGGGGCCCTGCTGTAAAAGTGGGGCTCTGCTGTAAAAGTGGGGCCTGCTGTAAAAGTGGGGCCCTGCTGTAAAAGTGGGGCCCTGCTGTAAAAGTGGGGCCCTGCTGTAAAAGTGGGGCCCTGCTGTATAAGTGGGGCCCTGCTGTATAAGTGGGGCCCTCCTGTACATCTTTTGTCTGGTCAAACTTAGAAATAAGCAGCAATGTTTATATTAACCCTTTGAGGGTCGAGAGGCCCTCTCCCAAACTTGTTCTCAGGGTCGAAAAAATTTTGAAAAAAAAAAAAATTATTTCTTTTTTCAAAATGATAAGAGAATTTTTTTCCAATCATAATGGCACCAAAAATATGAAATTTGATGGAAAACTTTTGGAATTATGCTCCCGTGAAGCAGTCTCAAAGTGGGTGATTTTGCCCACTTTGATCCCTATTTTCGGCCAGTTCCAATTTTGTAGTCGACTAAGATCATAGCTATTTCCCTAGAACTCCATTTGTTCTATCGATTGAGTACAAGAATCCACCCATTTATCGATTTCAACTACCCAATAAAGTGGTCAGAAATTAGCAATTTGGGCAATGTCACACAAATTTCAAAAGATGCCAATTTCGAAATAGGGTCAAGAATAAACAAGACAGACATTCCTGTCACAAAAATAACATTTTATCTGTCCATTAGTCACGTCTCTTGGCCCCTCTTACATTACTTTTGCTTTCCATTTTGAATTTTTATTCTCATATAAAGAAGGTTTTCTGAATGTATACTAATGCATCATTGTATAAATGGTATAAATGATATCAGTGCACTTGTAAAAAATTATTAGACTCACCAGTTGACTTGTATTGGACACATGGCTTGATTTGTCTGCTCTTGAACATCGGCAAAAATCGATCATTTTAGCTACTTTGAGCTCAATTTCAAGGTACTTGTCATCGTGAAACCAATCAAAATCATCTCTATTTCTGTAATATATCTTCCATTCTATCAAATGAGACCAAGGAAATGAGAATACAACCATAAATACCATACAAAAAATACACTAGAAAGTCACTGTTTTAAACCAAAAACACAGTTGAAGTTTTTTTTTTTTTGCTTCAGGATTTTTTTTTATACTGCACACACTAACCACACAGACCCATTCTTTCATATGTAGACCTGCCAGCTTTCTTCCACCAGATTTGAAGGTGCTAGTATTTAGCGTACAAGTACGTGACCGACCCTGGCTGCAATGACGTACTTGTACATGACTGACCCTCAAAGGGTTAAACTTCAGATTCAGGCCTCATACATCTGTCTACATGTGCTATCTGAAACACTGGTGGAATAAATGTAAAACTTATCAAGAGGAACCTGCATAATGAGATCTGTAAAGTGCCAGCAGGTTGTATAACAGCAACAGCCTGGTTGAACAGGAAGCTTCAAGAAATGCCAAGCAGTGACATTAATGAAAAAAAAAACAGAAAACCTATCACTGATACAGGTAAGTGACCAATGATCTGCTTAGTTACTTATTAAGCAATGTCTTGACCAGTGCATGATAACACACTGTAGTGATGTCCTGACCAGTGTAAGATAACACACTGTAGTGATGTCTTGACCAGTGTAAGATAACACACTGTAGTGAAGTCTTGACCAGTGTAAGATAACACACTGTAGTGATGTCTTGACCAGTGTATGACACGCTGTAGTGATGTCCTGACCAGTGTAAGATAACACACTGTAGTGATGTCTTGACCAGTGTAAGATAACACACTGTAGTGATGTCTTGACCAGTGTAAGATAACACACTGTAGTGATGTCTTGACCAGTGTATAACACACTGTAATGATGTCCTGACTAGTGTAACACTGTAGTGATGTCTTGACCAGTGTAAGATAACACACTGTAGTGAAGTCTTGACCAGTGTAAGATAACACACTGTAGTGATGTCTTGACCAGTGTATGACACGCTGTAGTGATGTCTTGACCAGTGTAAGATAACACACTGTAGTGATGTCTTGACCAGTGTAAGATAACACACTGTAGTGATGTCTTGACCAGTGTATAACACACTGTAATGATGTCCTGACTAGTGTAACACTGTAGTGATGTCCTGACCAGTGTAAGATAACACACTGTAGTGATGTCCTGACCAGTGTAAGATAACACACTGTAGTGATGTCCTGACCAGTGTATGATAACACACTGTAGTGATGTTATGACCAGTGTAAGATAGCACACTGTAGTGATGTCCTGACCAGTGTAAGATAACACACTGTAGTGATGTCCTGACTAGTGTAACACTGTAGTGATGTCCTGATCAGTGTAAGATAACACACTGTAGTGATGTCCTGACCAGTGTAAGATAACACACTGTAGTGATGTCCTGACCAGTGTATGATAACACACTGTAGTGATGTTATGACCAGTGTAAGATAGCACACTGTAGTGATGTCCTGACCAGTGTAAGATAACACACTGTAGTGATGTCCTGACCAGTGTAAGATAACACTGTAGTGATGTTCTGACCAGTGTAAGATAACACACTGTAGTGATGTTTTGACCAGTGTAAGATAACACATTGCCATGATGACTTGACCAGTGTAAGACAACACACTCTACTGATGTCCTGACCAATGTAAGATAACACTGTAGTGATGTCTTGACCAGTGTAAGATAACACTCTAGTGATGTCCTGACCAGTGTATGATAATACACTGTAGTGATGTCAATATTAGTGTAAGATAACATACTGTAGTGATGTCTTTACCAGTGTAAGATAACACAGTGTAGTGATGTCAATATTAGTGTAAGACAACACAACTCAGCCTTACGACATTCGAGGACAGTTTAGAGATGGGACATAGGAACAACAGGGCAGGCACAACTGGAAGTTGGTGAGCCATAGGGATGTTAGTAATTTTTCTGCCTTAGAATTATCAGGGAGTGGAACAATTTGGAGAGTGATGTGGTAGAGGCAGGAGCAATGTACGACTTTAACCCTTTCATGCACTGTCATGTAGAACTATGTCATGGAGGCCATGGTCCCTGATGTAGTTCTAATTCACGAGCTCACCTCACTCAGATAAGCTGTGAGTTGTAAATTTTGGCCTAGATATAAGAGAATGGGTCTGTGTGGTGAGTGTGCACAGTACAAAAGAAATCCTGCCCCATGCAGTGCATGATGGAAAAACAAAACTGTCACTGTGTATATGTTCAAAATAGCAGTTTTGAGGTGTTTTCTCAGATTGTTCTTATGGTTTTACTATTTCTTGATACCATTTGATAGAATGGAAGATATTCTACTGAAACAGAGATTA